TTTTCTTTCCAGAGCGAACAAAAGAGAATCGACAAAATCGAATATGAAAACAAGCAACTGTGTCAGAAAATCGCGAATGCTCATCGCGGCCCTGCCAAGGTGGATTGCTGGAATGAATATTTTTCCAAGAGGTAACGTTCTTTCTCTTTATTTCATTAGTGGAAAGTCAAAGTTGACCTTCCCCTTGTTGGGTTGTAGTGGAGGTTCTCCTGAGCGGGAGGAATACAGAAATTATCTTGAGGGATAACCAAAGAGACCATGTTAAGGAGAATGAAAGATACCAAAAAATGGGGACCTTTCTCTAGCCTTGAGCTAACTTTCATTTCATCTAAGAGACTTTTTGGGGTCCTATTCAGAGTTTGTCAAAAGAAAGCACTATATACTTTTGTAAAATGATGAATATAGCTGGGACTACGACGCAGCCTTCTTGAAATAGTATCTACAGATATTTCCTGAGCAACCACTATGTGCTGAGCAACAGGAAGACAGAGATGACATGAGCTGTCTATCTCCCAAACTCAAAGAACTTGAGGTTTGGCAGGGAGACACTTGTATAAATAATAAGGCGTGTGGTCAGGGCGACAAAAGAAGTGTACGCAAGGGAAAGAATTTGGCGGGTGTGTGTGTGTGTGTGTGTGGCAGGCAGTGCCAAGATGCCTTTGTTGTATCCTTGCGCATCTGAAACAGAGTTGAAAGCTGAGGGGAGTGAGGTAAACCAAAACTTGTCATCCGCCATTTGTGATTTATCCACAGGCAAGACCTTCCCCCAGCTTGTAAACCAGACGTTCTCAATCGTGGTTTCACATAATTCCTGGGGAGCGTTTACAAAATGCCGATGCCTAAACTCCACCCTAGATCAATAAAGTAGAATCTTCTAGTGAACAGCAGGGTTGAGAACCACTGACGGAAACCTGTAAATGCTTTGCATGTTTCCCAGAGTGCAGTCTGGCTCAACATGGGGGCAGGGTGTCAAGGCTCAGCAGGAGAGTTTGTTTCCTGCTCTCAGGCAGCCTAGGTTTATGACATCACAACTTCATCTCCCCCACTCCCATCCAAGAGAATTTTATTCTTCATGCGTCTTGGGGTTTTGTGTTTTTCAGCTTAAACAGAGAAACAAGGAACCGGGAGCTAGTGAGAATCACGGTGGAAAACCAGGGCATTCTGAAGAGGCTTGGTGATCGCAAACCCCACTATGACCGCAAGTCATCCGAGATAGACTGGCAGGCACGTGGGCACTCTGTGATATTCTCGGGTGTGCACAGAGTTGGTCTGTGTTCAGAGTAGAGTTAGTCTCAGGAGGACCCCTAAGGAGCTGAGGGCGAGATCATGAGAAATGCAACAGTCAGTAAAGGAAAAACCACCCAGAGCAAACAAGGCTGACGACGGGAGCAAACCGTCCCCAAGCTAAGAAGATCTCCTTGGTAGCAAAGCCAGTATGCGTCAGTTTCAGAAAATACCTGGTAGCATCTTCCCTCATCCCTTAATTCATTAAGAAAGGCTGAAGAGGGGCTGGCCCCGTGGCGGAGTGGTTAAGTTCGCGCGCTCCGCTGCAGGCGGTCCAGTGTTTCGTTGGTTCGAATCCTGGGCGCGGACATGGCATTGCTCATCAGACCACGCTGAGGCAGCGTCTCACATGCCACAACTAGAAGGACCCACAACGAAGAATATACAACTATGTACCGGGGGGCTTTGGGGAGAAAAAGGAAAAAATAAAATCTTTATAAAAAAAAAAAAAAAGGCTGAAGATACAAGCTAAGAGGATGAAGGGTATGGGATTCAGATGTGGTTGATTTGCTTCCACAAATGATCCTTCAAGCCTTCTACAGTGTTTTTAGGAAGCTTCACTCCCTGGCTTTCGTCTGTAAGCCTTTTCTAAGCCATCTTTAGGATTTAAAACTTTAACTTTCACACCAGTATCCTGGCATTGACATACATCTTTCTGATTTTTTTTCCCTTCAAGAATTCAAGGCGCTATATCAGAAATACAACAAGATATCTTCTCTCCCAAGAGGAATAGGTATGTCTTAACACAGCTGCTCTTTATTACAGAACACGGCGATCACAGCTGGGTCCAGAGAAGGAGGGGCCCAGTGAAGGGGTGCGTTTTGCCCTTCTGTACTATCGACTGGTCATACATTCAGGGAACCGATAGCCCTGCCTTTGTTTCCTCTCTCTGTACAAATAGGAAATGACTGTCTTTTGTCACCAGCTTTGAGGCTTTACATGAGTCTAAGGGGAAGTGATTTGTTCCAATAAGACTTAAACAGGAGGTCTCATGGCTTTAATGTTGTGCCAAAGTTACATGACAGGTCTCTGCACTATTCAGAACTACTGTTGTGTTGGCATTCTATAATATTTAACATTATTAGTAATGACTATATTTTTCCCCCCGGGGAGAAGGATAAATGGACATTCAGACTTTCCAAAGAATAGTTCTGTATAATTGATGGTTCTCCATTTCTCTCCCTCTCCTCTCTCTCAATACAAGGTTACTCACCGTGGAAAAGATACAAGAGGAGGCCCTAGGATTCCTTAGCCGCTTAGAATCCCAAGACACTTCTAAGTGGCTGAATGTTCCATCTTAGGATGCTACAATAAAACTTGGAACATAAAATGAGTAAGTTACATTTAAGGTGCCCAAAGGTTTTAAGTCTCACCCCAAAATGGAGACAGAATGGGGCAGACAGAAGGAAAGATGCAACAAGCATTTTTACTTAGGGCTATGAAAAGAAGTGTTAATGAGAGAGAGACAACTTTTTAAAACATACACCATCACCACTACCATCCTGGGGGGAAGAAAAGATGGGGTGATGATCCAGCCACAAGTTCAGCTCTGTCAAAATGGAAAACAAAAGCACACGGCAAAGTTAAGGTTCAGACAACACAGAGAACAAATGCCATTAGTTCCTCTGAATACACAGAAGTGGAAAAGAATGCTTCATTGAAGTTTCCATGTATCTTGTTCATTTATAGGGAGCAGCAACGATGAAAATGTCAAAAAAATCTCAAAACATATAGCAAGGCAATGTTGCATGGCTTCTATGACTGGTCATGCTGGTTTTGAGCCGGACTTTTTAAACCTTTTATTTTGAAAGGGAGTAGATCTTAAGTCTTAAATGTTAAATCTTAAAATAAACTTTTTTATTTTAAAATAATTAGATTCACAGGAAGTTGCAAATAAACGTACAGAGGGGCCACCTGCACCCTTCCCCCAGCCTCCCCCCCACAATGTTAACATCTTGCATAACTATAGTACACAATATCAGACCAGGAGGTTGACATTGGTACAATCCATAGAGCATATACAAATTTCACCAGTTATCCATGCACTCATTTGTATGTGTGTGTACAGCTCTATGCAATTGTATCACATTTGTAGCTTTGCGTAACTACAACCACATTCAAGGTGGTTAACTGTACCATTATCAAAAGACTCCATTGTACCACCCCTTTTAACCACAGTCACCTTCTTCCTCCCATCCCTAACTCCTGGCAATCACTAATCTGTTTTCCATCTCTATAATTACGTTATTTCATGAGCGTTACATAAATGGGATCATGCAGAATGTATCCATTCTTTTGAGACTGGCTTTTTTCATTCTGTATAATTTCCTTGAGGTTCATCCAAGCTGTGTGTACCAATAGCTCATTCCTTTTTATTGCTGAGTAATATTCCACGGTATGGATGTACTACAGTTTATTTAACCACTCACCCATGAAAAGACATTTGGGTAGTTTCCTGTTTTTTGACCATTATGAATAAAACTGCTATGAACATTTGTGCACAAGTTTCTACATGAAAATAAGTTTGATTTCTCTGAGATAAAGGCCCAAGAATGCAATTGCTGGGTTGTATGGTAAGTCCATTTTGAAGGGAACTACAAAACTATTTTCCAGAGTGGCTGTACCATTTTACATTCCCACCAGCAATGAATGAGTGATTCAGTTTTTCCACATCCCCATCAGTATTTGATGTTATTGCTATTGTTTATTTTAGTCATTCTAATACGTGTGTAGTGACATCTCATGTAGTTTTAACTTGCATTTCTCTAATGATTAATGAACTTGAACATCTTTCATATGCTTATTTGCCATCTGTACATCCTCTTTGGTGAAATGTCTGTGTATATCTTTTCCTATTTTCTAATCAAATTATTCTTTTTTTTAATATTGAATTTTGGGAGTTCTTTATATATTACAGATACAAGTCCTTTGTTGGATATGTGATTTGCAAAATATTTTCTCCCAGTCTGTAACTTCTCTTTTTGTGTTCTTAATGGCGTCTTTCATAGAGCAAAATATTTTAATTTTAATGACATCCAATTTATCAATGATGAAACCATTCGTATCTTGAGTGTATCAGTGTCAGTATCCTGGTTGTGATTTTGTGCTATAGTTTTGCACTGTGCTACCCACTGGGGGAAACTAGGGAAGGGGTACACAGGATCTCTCTGTCTTGTTTCTTACGCACACGTAAATCTGCAATTATCTCAAAGTAAAAAGTTGAAAGAAAAAAATCAGTAAGTCCAAATATAAATTCATCATTAATGAATTTCTAGTTTCTATTCTAGTATTTAATGAATTCTACTAATTAATGAGATGAACTAGTTCCAGTTAATCTCAGTTTGAGGAACCATCATTCTTCTAGACATCCAGCTTAGAAACCTGGCCGTCATCCTTGACTTCACTCCCTCCCTCCCTTTTATCCCTTCCCCTCCTTGTATGTTTTAAATCTACCAGGCCTACTTCTCAGTCTCTGTATGTGTTACTGCTCAGATTTCAGCCACTTGTGATTTACGACCAGTATGAGTAACACAAAAATATGCCCAAATCACTTTCTAGCGTAACACCTTCAGTGACTTGCCATTCTTTCCAGAATGAGCCATACTTTTAAATGTGGCATACAAAATATGTACATATGACCCCACCATGATCCTGTTGCTCCTGTCTTTGCAGACTCTATCAATATGAATTCTTAGTTTCAAGCAACGGAAATTGACTTTGTCTGATTTAAGTAGTGGAATAATTTATTAAAGAATATGAATCAGTTAACAGTATTTGCTAGAAAACCACAGAACCGAGCTTCAAGTTGCCCATCGAGGAACAGCATCCACCATCTTGCTGTGGAGCTGGTCTGCGGGTGTGGTGGCTCGCCCTGCTGCCCCCGCTTCACCTAGATCTTGCTGACCTGCTACAGCTGCCTTTGACAACCACTGTCCCTGCCATTTTGTGTCACTAGTTCCCAATTCCACATCAGTAAAGGTGTACTGATTGGTGTAATTCCTCAGCTGCAAGGGAGGCTAGGGGAATGAGCGTCTGGCTTTTCCCACTCCTGGGCATGGCATCTGCTTCTCACCAGAATTCACAAGATAGGAAATTTCCCCCAAATTAGAATAAGGCTCAGACACTAGAATTCCACAAAAATGACAAACGTCTGTAAGCTTGTGTCTCATCACTCCTTGCCTTTTTCAACTAACAGAAGACACAGCTTCTTCTCATCCCATTTATTTTCCTGTTGTCTCCTCTCACTGGAAAACCCATACTTCTGCCTCTTTTCCTGGACAACCCCTATCCATTATATATCCAGGAGAGGCCATTCTCCAGGAAGTCACCTTGAACTGCTCAGGTTATATTAGGTATCTTTCAAATATTTGGACATTTTCCTGTTGTCTTTCTGTGATTTCTAGTTTGATTCCATTATGGTCAGAGAACACAGTCTAATTTCCAACCATTTGTTAATATAGTCTATAGATGAATATTTCATGGGCATTTGAAAAGAACGTGTCCGTACTGTGCTGCTGTTGGCGGGATTCTGTAAATGTCAGTTCAACCCCGTTGGCTGATGGTCTTCAGTTCTTCCCTATCCTGGATGACGTTCTGTTCTGGTTCTATCAATTGCTGAGACTAGGGTGTGAGATCCCCAATTATAACCGTGGATTTGTCTCGTTCTCCTTTCAGCTCTATCAGTTTTTGCTTCATGTATTTTAAAACTCTGGTGTTGAGCGCCTACACATTTAGGATTGCTATATCTTCTTGGTGGAGTGCCCCTTTCACCATTATATGTGTCCCTCTTTGTCCTAGCAATTCTCTTTCTCTGAAATCCACTTTATGTGATAATACAGCCACTACTGCTTTTTAAAAACTGTTTGCATAATACACCAGTTTCTATCCTTACTTTCGACCTACCTATGTACGCTTGTAGACAGTATATAGTTGTCGTGTTTTTTTTATCGACTCTGCCAATTTCTGTCTTTTAAGTGGTCACTTTATCCTCCTCACTTTTAAACTATAATTACCATATGTATTTCCTCTACATGCATCGCATACCACATCAGATGGTGTTATAAATTTTTCTTCAACCAGAAAATATCCATAAAGAAAATCAAGAGGTGAAGAATAATCCATTATGTTTACTTCTATTTTCACCTATTCTGTTGTTTTTTTTCCTTTCTAAAGGTCCCGGCCTTTTGCTATTTTCTTTCTGTTTGGAGAACTTCCTTGAGCAATTCTTTAAGGGTAGGTCTCAATAAATTCTGTCAGCTTCATCTGAGAATGTCTTCCTTTCCCCTTCATTCCTGGAGGATAGTTTCATCACATAGGATTCAAAGTTGACAGTTCTCAGCACTTGACACACGTGTCACTTTTTCTAGCCTCCATAGTTGGCTTTATGGGCAATACTAAAATGGAACCTGAATTGGTGTTGCTTCCGGGGTGTTCCTCCCTGTTTTTAAGATTTTTTTCTTAGTCTTTAGTTTTCAGAAGATTAATTAATGATGTGTCTCGGTATGCATTTCTTTGGGCTTATCCAATTTGGAGTTTATCAGCTTCTTGAATCTGTAGGTTTATATCTTTCACCAAATTTGGGGAGTTCTCACCCATGATTTCTTTGAATACTCTTCAGTCCCACACTTTCTCCTCTCTTTCTGGGACTCAGTTGATACAAGTGTTAGCTCTTTTGTTAATTGTCCCACGGGTCCCTGAGGCTCTTTTTTCTTTTTCAGTCTGTCACTCAGATTGAGTAAATTTTATTGATCTGTCCTCAAGTATCCCGATTTCACCTTCAGTCATTTCCACTCTCCTATCAAGTTCATCTGCGATTTTTATTTTACAATAATTTTTCATTTCTATAATTTCCATTTGGTTATTTTTCATAACTTCTATTTCTTTGCTAAGATTTTCTATTTTTTAATTTTTTTTCAAGATAATTTCTAATTGTTGAAGCATTTTTATTACAACTGCTTTAAAATACTTGTCAGATAAATTCCAGCATCTGAATCATACAAATATTGGTATCAGTTAATTGTCTTTTCTTAGTTAGCCTGGAGTTTTCCTGGTTTGGGAGATGATGAGCGATTTGCTATTGTATCCTGGACATTTGGGTTATTCTGTTAGGAACGTCTTCATCCTATTTACATCTTTTTTAGCACCCGTTTAGGTGTAGTGTATAGGTTCTTACTTCTTTTATGGTTTTTATTTCCAATGACAATTCAGTTTTCTGAGCCTTTGCGATACAATTCTGGTTTGCTTTGTTCTTTGGGTGCTGCTGGGTCCCACTCAGTCCCTGCCAGTGTCTTCTGTGGTGGGAGAAGGTGCTTCCCTGGGCGGCACGGTGTGGCTGGGCCGCCTTCTGCAGAGGGGCAGGCACACAGTGCTGGGCCTGCGTCTCCTTGTGCCACAGTGTGGAGGGCAGGGAGACACAGGGCTTCACTGCTGCTGTGAACGAACTGGGCCATGTGCTGATGCCCCGGTGTGGAGCTGGGAGTGAGGCTCCCCATAGGTCCCTACTGGACTTCCCCATCCTTTGGCACAGAAAGCACGCTTTTCTTTCCTTTTTTTTTTTTGTCCTTCCCATCTATGCCTGTTGGTGGTTCTGGGTTGCAGGCCTCTCCAGAGCCCAATCTGGGGTATATGGAAGATGAAAAGAAAACCCAGGAAACTCACCACATTGCTGTTCCTCAAGTCCTGACGTCCCTGGTCAGCCCAGCATCTTCTTTCCAGCTTTCAGAGTCCTTTTATCTTTTTAATAATTTCCAAGGTATTTAGTTGCATTTAGATGAGAGGAAGAGAGAAAAGTGATTCTAAATCATCTTGTTCTGAAACCACAGGCCCAACTTTTAAAGGAAGCAAGGGTTTGAGACTGTATTCAGAGAGTAGGAAAAGAATGGAGTAACAAATTGATTCACATTAACTCCACCAGATAGAGAAATGCTGCTTATTGGTTCTGAACAGTAGGATTCAAGAATGGGCTTTGTGCATATGCTGGTCTGTAACTGTTAAACAAATGGCCAAGTGCTATCATTTTTTGGATGCATGATTCTGTGATCGGTGGCATAAATGATGCGACACTGGATAAACGGATGCAAAATTTTGATGGGCCACGTGTCTTAAAGCATGTGTGTATTCGAGCATACAACAGTCAAAGCACAACGGATCATGTTTAACATAGCTGAGCACTGCTTGTGGAGGAGTGATGGTTGTGACCTTCTTAACCCATCTCTTGCAGGGGGTGGCAGAGGTTATAAACTGCTGGAGCAGGGATGGCAAATAGGAGTAACTCACTTGCTAATTCTGCTCAATTGATACTGGATACTGTGTCCAGACAGGTCCAAAAGCAGAGCCTGGATTCAGGAGGACAGTGCCATGGTGAATTAGTACTGTCCACCACGGGTGTAAGAATGGGCCGAGGCAGCAAATAGGCCCCACCCGTTTAACATCCCTGACCTAGGAAAGTCCTCTAGAGCCCAAATTCTCTCTGGTTGTAGACACAGGCAGACAGCTTACCTGAGTTTGAAGGCCTGAGAAAACAAACCAAAAAAGGACATCTTGAGGGTATGGAATGTGGAGATTTCTTGGTGTAGGGGCCCAGAGTGATCAACTTTGTAAAAATTTTGCCCAGGGGCTCAGAATGTACAATGCTAGCTGGAAGGGGACTTGGGATTCCATTTATACACATTCCACCAATATGTATTTGTAAACAGGTACTTTTTTTTTTTTTAACAAGGCTTTTCTGCTTTTTACCAACAGCAAAAACATTTTACACATGACCTCTGTCTCTGTGGCCTTATCCACTCTACTCTCACAGACTTAAGAGCAGACAAATGGCTGTAGACACAGCCCGTCTTAGGGGTGAGGAGGCTACTGGGACAGGAGGTACAGCAGCCATCACATTTTAATGCCTTGCTTCATAATATACATGAAGAGAATTATTACCATTTCATCTGAAAATTGCGTAAAAATATTAAGAAGCAGAAAATGTCTTTTGAGAGGTATGAAATGCAAAAAAAGTCATCTGGTGCTCACCACTGTGTTCCTCCACTGCAGGCAAACCACCCAGATGGGACTTGCTAAGAGCTGGTTAGGCTCTCCACCAAGGGGATTTTTCAAGAGTAATTTTGACTCACGTGTTTTTTGCCTGACAGCTGACTTTAGCTTCTGGCCCTCCTGTATCATACACACAACTCTGCCTGTGCCATTCACACTTGAAGGGGCAGCTGCTGTTCCTGCCCTGGGTCCATGTGGAACAGCTCAAGACTAGTATCACTTGATAAGAATCCAGTACTCTGGAAGTACCGAGAAGTCCTCATCCTTTTGCTAGAAAGGTCTGAAGAAGGTGATCCTGTTAGGTGGACCTGCCAGGTTAGTGAGCTGGAAAATTGCAAAGGTGTCCTTGTATCAGAAGCCTAAATGGAAATTTCTAGACGGGCAGCAAATCTCCCTGCTGTTTCTCCCTTAACTTGGCTTCCTTTTCTTCTCGTGAGGAAAAGAGCTTGAAAATGTACATGAGTAAGCAGCCTCTTTCCAGTCTTAGAAGTCACAGCCACACTGCACAGTACTGTAGATTCTACCTAGGAACACATCCCCCACTTAAAGGTCAATTATTTAACAGGTACCCTCAGTTACGGAGCCACAGAAGGAGGCAGCACAGTTCAGTGACTAACGACCATCTCTGGTATTCGGGAGACCAGGGCTCAAAGTCTATAGCTCTGCCATTTTTTTTTAAGCTGTGTGAGCTTGGACACGTTATCTAAGCTTTCTAAGCTTTATTCTTCTCATTCATATAATGGGGGTTAAGAATCCTACCTTATAGGCTTAGTGTATTTGTCAAAGTAATGTATATAAAGGCCTTAGCATAGCCCCTGGCACAGAATAAAGACTTACCTACATTGCCTATTAATAAGAAATAAAATTCTCTGAGCAGCAAAGATATGTCACAAATCCTGTGCGACCCTAAACACTTTTGCTCAGAGACAACCAGTCAGGCCCACACTCAGAGTCTATGTACCTTGACTTTGATGGTCAGGACTGAGTTCTCACGGCTTAGACAGAGTGTTGGTGGGGGAATCAGCTAGTTTGATCCGGCACAACAGGAGATTAGGGCCCAGATGATCTGAAGATGGGGACAGGCGAGAACCAGGCAACTGTCAGTAACAAGAGGGACAAGTGATGGAATAGAATAATCGAACAAAGCCAAGGGCTCCATTTTAGGCTGAGGATATTAGAAAGGGGACCGGCAGCCTCACATTCCTCGAGAGTCCCTGAAAACAGCATTGTATCATAGAATAGTACAGTAATTCACAGTGAGGGTGAAGTGCGCCTCAGTCTTCCAAAAAAGCTCATGTATGCTCACTATTTAAAAAGGCAGAGAACCAATTTTTCCATTGCCAGGCAAGCATTCACCATCAATAAGGTTAAAATCAACATTTTAGGGCTTGAAGACAAGGGAACTTCAGTTGCCTGGAAAATCCCCTTGGGCAAAACAACTCCTTTCCAGCAAAGCTGGGCGAATAAAGTGTCACTGTTTATAAAGCTCAACCATCTCTGCAAATCAGTAGTGTATAAATTCACCACCGCCACCCCCAAAAGACAGTGGCTACTTGACTTTGGTACAAAGAATCAGGGTCAACTTGCCTGTGATAATTTAATGAAGTGTGTTTCTTTGTGACACGCCCCTTTCAACTCATGTTTTCTGCTCCAAAAGGGTGCAGTGAAAATCAACAGACAAAAACCAACAACATGACTTCCCACATAGACTCTCCTCGATGACGGAGTTTACGGAAAATGCTGCCCCTCTCCGTGCTTGAGATACCTTCGTGGTAACATGGGGGAGGCTGGACGAGGTGGTCTTTTAGGTCCCCTCCAACCTGGATGTTCTAGGATGCAGTTACCTGACCCAACTAATAGGTACCCAGTGAGAGTCCTGGCTCAGCTTCTCCAAGAGCACTCGGAGCTGGCTGTGTGCACTCTGGAGATCCTCCTTCACCAGCACAGCGTCCACCAGGTGCCCGTAATGCTGCTCTATGAAGGCGGCGGAGGCGACCATCTCTTGCTGCTCCTCATCCTGCAAGAAAAGAGGCAGTTATGGGGCAACTGGGTTGTTCTCCCCCCAAATAACAGTCCTACAGCTTTTGTCTTGGGCAATGTTCCAATCTCTAATTTTTAAGTGATGAGTGGATGACAATGGCCCATTAAATCCAACTGTGTACACAAGAACAGAGTGTAGTGACAATATCAAACTTCCAAGAAAGTTAATGGGCAGTAACATAATCAGCGTTCAGTCATTCACTCACAGAACATCTGCTAAGGACCTGTTAACTGCCAGCCACGATACACAGCACTCTGGGGGATGCTGATTCTAGATCCGCGTGTGCCTATGTGAGTATCACACTTCTATCCGAGGGTATTTCCAGAGAAGCAGTACTATTGTGTTGCATGACAGTTTGGCTAAATAATTACAGGAAAGAATTATAAATAATATTAACTATGTAAAAGCAAAGCAAGCATTTCTGGAATCAATTAGGGGAAAAAGACAGTAAGTAACTCTAATGCCCTCTGAAGACTCCTAAATTCATAATGTAGAACTCAATTCTTCTTTTAATTTCCTCATACCAGGGCCAAACACTAGCGCGGCAAAGGAGTTACTGAAGAAAGTGCCCAGACAGCCATGATCAAATTCCCCATTTCCTTAGGGTACCTGATTTCTTTAATCAGATTGCTTTCCTGACACCTAACACTAAGGTATAGGCGGGCAATGACCCTCCTTCACCCAACCTGCACAGTGTTTCCTCGCTCATTCAAAAGAACCTCTAATAAGTAGAATTTCAAGTGAGTAGGTGACCGACAATTAGCTTCATTTTTGGAAGAAAGGAAAGTGGCAGATCCACTCTAAGTAAAATTGAAAAACAAAATTTGTCCCTGGCGTTCATCCACCTCCCTGTCTCTTTCCAGTCCTCTGTTCCCTTCTCTCCTCTGCTGCTGGGGGCTCAGTGTGTTTAGGCTGCCATGGAGGGGGGTGAGGTCTGTCCTCCCTCAAGGAGACCCACACCCCAAAATATTCCCTCCCCCTCTTCTCTACATCACGGATCAAAACCAGATTCCCACTGTAGTGAGAGCGCTGCAGTTTCAGAAGGGAAGTTCTAAAGGTCTAGGAAACAGTTTTTAAGCTACTACAAGGACAGGAGAGACCTAAGAGAAGGCTGAGATAATTTCTTCTCCTTAAAAACTAGATTAAATTGAGAGAGGCTTCCCAATTCTGTATTGTGTCTTCCAGGGCTCCTCTCACACCCAAAAGCACTCTGCAGTGTCCCAGTCTGTCCACCCACCTCCCCCACCCACTTACACACACACACACCCCCCCTGTAGCCCTGTCTGCTGCTTCTGGAGGTTCCCCCTCCTCCAGGCACCCACATTGTTCATCCTGGAAGCATTTAGCTATTCGAGAAATTATAGAGGGAACATTTTTGCCGCTAAGAACCTCCATCTTTCTAATAAATACTTGCATTTTGAAAGAACTCAAGCAAATCTCTAATGGAGTAAAGTGTGTGACATTTGCTTTGCAGCCATAAATCCCCTGAATCCTTTTCCTGGCCTGTAAAGGTGGAACTTAGCACCCACGGCTTCTGCAAGGGAGGCACAGTCCTGCACAGCACATAGGTAGACTCCCTCCGTACTGCCCCTCACCCCCATGTTGGATTAGCTTGCCGGATCCCAGGGCAGAATGCCCGTTCACTGTGGGCAGCAAATAAATGTGCAGAGGATGTGCCAGAAAGGTGTTTTATCCAGTAGGTTCCCTGACTTGGAACTCTGGTGCCAGACAGTGGACAAATATTTAATGTTACGCAAAACTCAGGCCTTTATGAGGAATTTCTCCAAATGTAGTCTGAGTTCTGCCTACCTCCATCAAAATCATGTGAAAGGGTGTGTGTGAAAAATGCAGACGCCTGAGGCCCACTCTAAACCTCCTCGGTCAAAATCTCTGGGAGTAGAGCCGAGGACTCTGTATTTTAATAGCCTCCCTGTGACCTTGATGCCCCCTTGTGGTGAGAAGGACACAGGCTTCAGGACAGGAGAACACGTCTGGAGACGCTAGAGGAGCAAGGTGAGATGTCACCATTGGTGGGCGAGCTGACCCGCAGACAACGAATATTATCAGCCCGGTGTGTTCAGTCATCAGCCTGCCTGCTTGGAATGCAGCATTTCGGTGGGTAATAAGAGAGACGGATACATGATGAAACTGGTCAGGCTGAAAGGCCACCGGTAAGAGACTGCACTTCTGCTTCTTTTGAAATGACAGCCATGGACGGGGCGGGGGCGGGGGGGGGGAGCGGGGGGCGCACGTGGTTCTGACTCCCAGAAAACTGACATCTCCTGGGGCCCTTACAACTCGGCTGAACTTTCTTTGTGCCCTAGGAAACTGCCTCGTATTCTACCTTATGTCTTCTTGACTCTTTTTAGATAAGTCTTTTCCCCCTGGTTATTCTTTTAATCCTAAAATGCTTGTTAAAAAAAAAAAAACATAGTAAAACAAATTGACAAGCTGATCCTAAAATTCATATGGAAATGCCAAGGGCCAAGAATAGTCAAAACCATCTTGAAAAAGAATAACGTTGGAGGACTCACATTTCCTGATTTTAAAACTTACTACAAAACTACAGTAATCAAGACACTGTTGTACTGGCATAAAGACAGACGGGCATATAGATCAAAGGAATAGAATTGAGAGTCCAGAAATAAACACATTTATGGTCAATTGATTTTTGACAAGGGTGCCAAGATAATTAAATGGGAAAAGAACAGTCTTCAATAAACGGTGCCGGGACAACTAGGTCTCCACATGCGAAGAATGAAGCTGGACCCCTGCCTCACACCACAGACAGAAATTCACTCTAAGTGGATGAAAGACCTAAATGTAACTGCTAAAATGATAAATATCTTAGAAGAAAACAAAGGAGTAAATCTTTATGACCTTGGATTAGACAATGATTCCTTAAATATGATACGGAAAACATAAGTGATAAAAGAAAAAATAGATAAATTGGACTTCATTAAAATTTTAAAATTTTGTGCTTAAAAGACCATATCAAAAAAGTGAAAGACCAACTTACAGAATGGGAGAAAATATCTGTAAGTCATACATCTGATAAGGGATTTGTATCCAGAATATATAAAGGATTCTTACAACTCAAAAAGATAAATAATCCAACTGAAAAATGGACAAAGTATTTAACAGACGTTTCTCCAAAGAAGATAGACACTTTGCCAATAAACACATGAAAAGATGCTCAACGTCATTAGTCATTAGGGAAATGCAAATGAAAACCACAATGAGATACCACTTCACACCCACTGGGATGGCTGTAATCAAAAAGACAGTAACAAGTGCCGGTAAAGATGTGGAGAAATTGGAACCCTTGAACACTGCCGATGGGAATGTGAAATGGTGCAGCTGCTGTGGAAAAGAGTCTGGCAGTTCCTCAAAATGTTAAACAAACAGAGTTACCATGTGACCCAGCAATTTCACTCCTAGGTAGAGAACCAAGAGAAATGAAAACACAGCCACACAAAAACTTGTACAAGAATGTTCATAGTGGCATTATAATAGCTAAAAAAGTAGAAATAACCCAAATGTCCATTAATTGATGAATGGATAAACAAAATGTGGTATTCTATACAATGGGATATTATTCAGCCAAAAAAATAATGAAATACTGGGGCCAGCCTGGTGGCATAGTGGTCAAGTTCACATGCTCTCTTTGGCAGTCCAGGGTTCAGAGGTTCGGATCCTGGGCATGGACCTATGCACTGCTTATCAAGCCATGCTGCGGCAGACATACCACATATAAAATAGAGGAAGATGGGCACAGATGATGGGCTAATCTTCCTCAGCAAAAAAAGAAAAAAAAAGAAGTACTGATACATGAATGAACCTTAAAAACATCATACTAAGTCAAAGATGCCAGATACAAAGGGTCCTATATTGTATGATTCCATTTATGTGAAATGTTTACAATAGGCAAATCTATAGAGACAAAGCAGATTAGCAGTTGCCTGAGGCCAGGAAGGGGTTGGGGGGTAATGGAGAATGGGAAATGCTAATGGGCTCAGGGTTTCTCTTGGGGATGATGAAAATGTTCTAAAATTGATTGTGGGGATGGCTGCATAGATCTGTGAGTATATACTATTGAATTATATACTTTAAATGGGTGAATTGTATGGTATGTGAATTTTATCTCAATAAAGCTGTTAAACCTCCCTCCTAGAAAAAAAAATATACAGTAAAAAATAGAAAACAAAAATTAGTCATGAGCCCAATATTCAGAGAAAAACACATTTAGCATTTTAGTGTATCTCCTTTGTGCATGACACAAAATTAGAATCACACCTTTTAATTTTCTGATTTATTTCCATTTAACATTTTATTGCATTTGGCTATATTATCAAATATTCCTCAAACATGGGACTTTTACTTGGCCATATAATATTCCACTCCACCCTGTGAACGTCACGTTAATGTGGTGATGTATTGAGTTGATCCCCACTATGGGATATTTAGGTTGTTTCTGATTTTGTTGTTATTAGCACCACCATGAGGAACATACTGTGTATTTCTAAGTGGTTCTAGACTCAAGCTGATGTTCTCTTTAGAGTTTCTAAAGGGGAAACTTCTAATGTTCCTTCTAGCCATTACTTAGTCATTCTAATTCTAATTTATCTAAGCCATTCTAATTTATCGGTATGGACAATTATAACACAGAGTTAGTATGAACTAGGACTGCGGCAAATCTTTACTGGGAGGGAGCTTCTTGACCAAGGAGGAGGATCCAAGAGGGCCTCTGTCAGACAGAACCAGTCATATAGATTAGACAGCAAGCCAAGTCTATACTGGAACTGGATTGCTTCTGACCCCCTCCCAGTAACAACTGCCAGCGGATTCCTCTGACTCTGTTGAGAACCAGAAAAGAAGAGTCACCAAGCCCACGTCTCCTGAGAGAACTGTGCCAAATATTTAGGTTTCAAGTGGCGGTCCTGACACAGACTGGGCTGAGCAAGGAATCCATGACAGGCAAAGAGAAGTTCACTGAGACATACAGTGGAGTATCTCATCCACTAGCTTTACAAATAGATTAATTCGCTGATGGTTCAAAGTGGTTTGAAAGCAATGATAATGACCATGTTAGGTGGTGTTTCAATGAAAAACTGCTCAGGGGGCCAGCCCTGTGGCAAGTGGTTAAGTTGGTGTGCCCAAGTTCGTGGGTTCAGATGCCAGGTGCGGACCTACACCACTGTCAGCCATGCTGTGGGATGACCCACACAGAAAGTGGAGGAAGACTGGCACAGATGTTAGCTCTGGGCTGATCATCCTCCGGCAAAAAAAGAGGAGGATTGGCAACGGATGTTAGCTCAGGGCTAATCTTCCTCAGGAAAAAAAAAAAAAAAAAAGCTTGGGTTTGGTTTAGGCGTTCAACAGATTAGTATGGCTTGTCACATTCAGATTAGGTCCCAGAGAGATGTCAGGCCCTTATTTTCCGGGACGGTGCTTATGTGAGGGACTGGAAAGTAGTGAGCAGAGGCAAAGCCACCTCATCTGAATTGGGAGGCACTCCTGGCTGCCCCACTTGGAGCCTTTTGGTCACATGACCATCTAAGACTGGCCAATTGGCAAAGTGGAAAGACGGTCTTGTGCAGAAGGCACGAGCACCCTTATGCAGCTAGGAGGCCTGTAACAGGCCCCTTAAGGACTTCAGAAAAGAAATGATCAATAAACTTACAAGTGGGGAGGCTGTATCCTCACAACCTGGGGACATGGGTGGTGTCTTCCTTTTTTCCTGAATTGCAGGCTTTACAAATACAACATAGGGCTTGAACTCTGAGGTCCTCAATTGTTGCAGTGCCTGAGAAAGAAAGTTCAGGAATATTATATACTTTGGAAATCTTCTGTTGTGAAACATCCTTTGCAATTGCTTGATAATGGTGTGCTTCATCACATGACCTCGATAGCAAAGGTCGCGATTACAGTGGTCACGTGACCTCACCTGGGCAGACAAACTGCTCATTTTCCTGCCCTCCACTTTGACGATGGACTGAGCTGGGCCCTGAAGGCCCACTCGCCGAGGACCGAGGGTGCCTGAGCCTCGGCTCTGAGAGTTGCCATCTCTCTTTGCTCTGACCCCAAAAGTTATAATTAACCTTCTGACGCCCTTCTCCACCTGCCCACTCCTGACAGAGGAGCCAGCAGGATTCCACGTTTATCTGTTTAGTCAAACGTCATCGATGTGACCTACACGGATGCAAAATGTGGGCTATCGCACAGGCCTCTGGATGATATTCAAAAAAAGAGAAGGTTTGAGAAGCAAATGAAGAGATTAAGAGACCACTTGAAACAAACTGTAAAGATTTTAGAAGGTTTTCAATACGCAAATCGTCCTGTTGATTTGTGCATTTTATCTATAAGGTCAGGCCTCTATTCGGAGACACTGGTAGGAAACTGCTGTATACACAATGTACACCCCCCAAAGATCAATAAAGTCACTTTTCAAATAAAATTTTGACATTTAGACTTCTAATTTCGACTACCAACTCCCTGTAAGTCCAAACTAGTGAGGCTTTTCCTTTACAGACATAATGCACTTTTCAGACTCTCCTTCAAGCAAACTTCTGTAAGATAGAGCCTACGGTTTCTATCATAAAACCAGAGCTCTGTTTCTATAGAGGAAAGAAAACCCCCAGACTGACTTGAAAGCTTCGAAGTTCTTCTCAAAGGCAAGGTTAAAAAGACGGTGAAGCCCCGTCCAGCACACAGCGTGCAGGTGTGCAGAATGCAAACGTTCCTGAAGCACTGCCCAGGGCCACGTCTCCTTGCCTTTCTCCCTTTCAAACTGCCCTCTGACCGCCCCACTCAGCGGTTCTTGAAACCACTGATCCCACTTGTCGTTGTCAGGAAGGGGGTGGCCTGATGCTCAGAGCCGAGCAGCTGCTTCCCCCTGGGCATTTACACGTAATTCCCTGACTGTCACATCACTACTGGCCAGTCAGCCCACCGTCTACTGCAGGACTCACTCCATACAGAGGCTGCTGCGAGGGTCCAGGAGCTCCCACAACGGAGGCAGTCTTTGTGTACTGAGGTATACGTTTTGGGGTACAAAGCTTTCATTAGATTCTCAAAGGGAGATCCAAGAAAATCTTAACACCTGGACTAAAAATTCCTTAGACGGAGGCCAAATGTTCTATAAAAGGTACAATCCCCTAGTTTACAAGTTCTGTTAACAGGAAACACCCAACTGGCCCAGGAACTCACGTCTGGCTCCACATCCACCAAGCAAACTTTGTTTTTGGCCATCACAGCCTGAATGGCGTCCAGGCTGGTTCCATAGAGATTTTCCTTATATTCACCATGTTCCAGGAACCTAAAACACCACCAAAGGGGGAAAGGCCTTTAGTGCCTGAGCTTGCCTAAATTAGCACGGAAAGGCGAAGGGACTTCCCACCATGACATCTCTCCCGCTTCCCTCCTCTTTTCCGGAAGCCCCCCCAGGAGGTCCAGTGGGACAGGGGACAGAGGTGGACCACAGCTGCACGGAGGGCAAACATACCTGTTGTGATGTAAGTCGGCCTCAAATGCTTGCTTCGAGACGAAGTGATATTCCACCCCCTCCTTCTCATGGCTCTTTCGAGGCCTGGTGGTATCTTTTAAAGAAAGAAGAGGAGAGCTGGGCAAAGAGACGTCACCTCGCAGTGAGCGAGCACAGCAGTGAGCCGGTGTCTCAGTCCTTTCAGGAGGTCATCACTGATGTGTGTGCAAACCACTCCCATTCAGCCAGTGTCCCCGGGTGTCAGGCACGGGGCCCTTTCCAGGCACATCACTGATAGGCATGACTCTGCGATGTAGGCAAGAGGAGGCCTCCCACTTGGAGGTGAGGAATCTGAGAGGCGCGGAGAGGTTAAGCGCCAGGCCAGTGTCCACAGCCAGCAGGAGCAGAGCCAGGCTCTGATGGCTCTCTGTCTCATGCCAAGTGTAGGCCCTTGACCACTCTGCCAAACTGCCTCATTAGCGCCGTGGCGTTTAGAGAATCGCCAAAGGGATCCCCAGTCCTAAGCTTTTATTTCCTAATCGTTTGGTTTTTTGAAAGCCAGTGGGGCACAAACACGGATGACCCTGCAGTATGCTTTTAACTCTTTATCCAATTATTTCTCATTTGGAGAGAAAAGGAGACATGCAGACAGACAGTCCGTTTATGGACTAGACGTGTTTCAGCAAAGCTGGCTCTCACACAAATGACTTTAAAACACATAACGTGTTTCCACTGATTTCCGTAACACAATTGAGACCCACACTTCTGGGGAAAATCAGCGCCTCCACGGAAAAAGAGTGCATACAAAGCAACACACAGCTTCTTCCAGAACATTCCAAAAGAAAAGACGGTGTCTTGGGGGACTGTTTTCTGGCCCCCCAGGGGGATGCGCTGTGCTCTCTCTACAGGCAGCATCTGCTAGGGTCACTTTTCTGACTTTTCATTCCCTTGCTTTAAAATTTTTATTCACCCACTGATTACTTAGATGAGTATATGAAACCCAGCCTCCCGTCAGCTTCATCTCCCCCCACATCATCCATACTAACTCTCTCAGTCCCTAACAGTCCTATGCTGGGTCACACCTTTGTCCCTTTGCATATGTTCTTCCCTCTGTATAAAAAACTCTTCCTTTCTTCTCTGCCTGGAAAACTCCTACTTACTCCTCAAAACCCAGCATAAAAGTCACTGCCTCTGGGAAGCCTTCCCTGACACCCTCAGTTCCTAAAAGCAAGGAGGAAAGTCAGTGAGGTGCCTGGAAGCAGGTAGGCCTGACCATCCAGGTACCCCTCTCCCCCCCGGAGATGGATCTGAGGCTTTCTGAAGGATCCATCTGTGAGCAACTTCTGTATGTCCTGTTTCAGTCCATTCTATCAGCCTAGAAGGCTGTGGTCCCCTGAAGCCTACCAGGTCCATCACAGGTGTGCTGCCGGAGTGGCCTCCCTAACCACCCCTGACCCCTGCCACTTCAAGGGCTCTGGAAGACAATTCTCACGACCCCTACACTGAGCTATGGGCCCCGAGGCCCAGGGGACCGGTATGGAAAAAGAAAGGCTTTGTAGTTACTCTTCCTCAGAACACTCTGGAAAGCTGTGTTACTGCCACCACAGCATCTCCTCTCAGTGGCCACCAGGTGCCACACTGCATCCCTCTGAGGCCAGAGGGCCTGAGAGAAAGTCCCAGAGAGGAAAGGGAGAGCCAAGGACAGGAAGTGGCGGGCAGCAGGTGAGAGGCTGTTGTGCAGCCTCGTTAAGAATGTGACTGGGGCAGGCTGCCTGGGTTTGAATCTTGGCTCCACCACTTACCAACTGTGTGACACTGGGCAAGTTACTTAACCTCTCTGAGCCTCAGTGTCTTCCTCCACAGCATGGGATGATGATGGTTCCTCTTCTCAGGGGTACTGGGAAGGCTGAAGGAGTGACCACGCATAAAATCTTTTCGTACTGTTCCTAGCAATCTTTCTCATCTCATTCCCTTCTTCCTCATCACATTCCGAACCAGGACCTCCCGCCTTCTGGATATCAGCCTCCCCAGCTGCCTCTAGACTCAGGAGTGTACCTGGCTGCCCTGATGGGCCAGACTCAGCTACAAGGGAGTGCCCAAGCAACTCTGCTCACCAGGCTCTCTGGCTTCTCCGACCTGCTCTCTTACCCAAGCAGAGAGCAGGGGCCTCAGGAGTCAGTCACTGGGCAGAGGAGTCTAGAATGCCCCACTGCTGGGGGCACTTGGCTTTGGGTCGAGGTTGCCACTTTGCCTGCAATGCACTCTAGACTCATCTCCCATCCCAGGCAGGAACTGGGCAAGTAGTCCTCCAGCTTCTGCCTCAGAGGGTCCTAGTGGACCACTGAGAGTGGGTCTCTTCCTATCATGCCTGGGTCCCACAACCTGCCCATAGGAGGTAGTGCCTGGCAGTCCCTCAGACCCAAAGGAAGGATTAGGATGAATATGAGGAGTCGAGTCCCCATGAAATGTTCATGTGTGTGCCCGCGTGTGGGCCCTCTTACGTGGAACGGCAACACCAAAGTGCTGTGGGTTCTCTGCCACCACCTTCTGCTTCAGCTCGTGCAGTCGGGCTCCCAGAGACCCTGGGAAACAGAGGGAAGGCTGACTGGGGTCCCTGCTGAGCTCCCTTCCCACACATCTAGGGAGGAAACCTGCCCACTTCCCGGAGACGCAGGACGTCACCTACCGATCAGAACCACCAGGCGGGGCCGCTCGCCGGGCTGGTGCTGGTACCTGGTCACCTCCTCGTAGGTCAGCAGCTCTGGAGACTCAGCTACCGAGGCCGTCTTTCCTTCCTGCGGGCTTCCCAGCCTCTCCCTGCGGCCCAGCCGGAAGCTCCTCCGAAGACCAGCTTTGGGGGCAGGGCAGAGGGAAGCGTGACCTTTGTCCCAGGATCTCCTGGTAACGACTTTCCCCACCCAGCCAGACCTGGAGGTGGGGTGGAGTCCCACTGGCCTCTCCCGACCACCTCCTGCTACAGGAAGGGGTTGATGGGGATGCACCGTAATACGATGAAAGGGTGACCTCTGACATCCAAAATTAAGGTTGAAGGTCACAGTTTTACTTGGCGTGTCACTGACTGACCTTGGGCAAGTCATCACCTCTCTGAGCCTCAGTTCCCTTATCTGTGAAATGGGAACACAAATCTACAAACGCAATGTGTGGTCCTGGATTGGATCCTGGGTCAGGGGAAACGCTCTAAAGGACATTATTGGGACAACTGGTAAAATTTAATATGAACAGTAAGTTAGACAGTAGAATTGTATGCATGCTAAATTCCCAGAGTTTGCTAATTGCCCTGGGTTATATAAGAGAATGTCCTTGTCCTTAGGAAATACACGCTGAGGTATTTAGGGGAGAAGGGACATGATGTCCACAACTAACTCATGTGACTCAGGGGAAAAATGTGTATCTGTAGAAAAAGGGACGGATACGAAAATACGGCAAAGTGTTGACAGCCGGTGAGCCCGGGTGTAGAGGACGTGGGAGTTCTTTGTACAATTCTTACACTTTTCAGTAAGTTTGAATTACTTCAAAATGAGAAGTTAAAAAACTCTGCCCATCTCTAAGGCCTCTGAAAAGATCAACCAAAATAAAAGTGAAGGTACTTTGGAGGCTGGTGAAAGGCTCCCTCACTGTGTGGGGTGGCGTAAACTTTGAACGGAATACAGTCGAGACCACGATAATAATAAAATTGGTATTAATGTAGCGGTCCATGCCCCCTTCCTGCCAGGGCTCTGCTCCCGGTGGCTGGGCGAAAGTTGGGGGGGCCCCAAGGTCTGGGCAGGTTCGCCCGTCCTCTGGCTGAGAGACCGCAGGGAAATGCGGGGCCCACAGGCCCAGCTGCTCTTGAAGGGTTCCTGGGGCTCCGATCACTCTGCCTTTCTCTTCCTCACGCAGAGCCCACGGCGGGCTGTGCGTGGGATGGGGGTCTGTCTACTCACCCACGTAGTGCCCCCTGAGGTACCCCTCACAGTCGCAGGTCTCTGGGAACCAAACAGAGAGAGGGAGGCCAGTGAGCCAGGCTGGACACACACCCTGGCCCAGAGGTACCCGGCCGGGGATGGCCCAGCAGAGCCCTCTGGGATGGTGTCTCAGGGGAGCTTGGGAGAAATGCCATGTCCTGGCCACCCCAGGAAAACAAGTTCTTCTGTTTCGCTCAGTGCTCTGTGCTTAGGGCCCAAACAGCCCTTCCAGGCCCAGGCCAGCCCCTGTGAATGGGATCAGTGCGACTAAGGGGGGGACTTTTGCCCCCCGCCCCACCCCCTCGTCTCTTGCCTTCTATTGGGCCGTCACATGGTCAGCCCGGCCAGAGTCCGGGGAAGGCTGGGCCCCGCGGGCCGGTCAGCAGGCAGGAGCTCTGTCCCCACTGGCTCCGCGTGCCGCAAGGACACAGGCTGGTCCGGCTGGCAGCGCAGGGAGAGGCATGGAAAGAGCCAGAAGGGCACAGCCACCCCAGAGCAGGGGAGGAAACAAGCCCCCTCCAGCCCCAGACATTCCACAGAAAAGGGACCTTGTCTGTGCGCGTAGGGGACAAATACCAGCCTACCTTTGTCACAAGGCTGATCATCTGTGGTTTGCACAAAAGACAGATGGAACAGTGTTAGTGGAGGGGAACCCGGAGGCCCTGCGGCTGAGAGGCAGCCACAGCCTCGTGTGCCTGAGGAGCCCCCATCTGTCCCCTTTCTTTCCTCCAACAAGCCTGTGATCTGAGCTGCAGTACATTATTAAACCAAGACTTTCTCTAATTAGTGTTCCTGTGTGTGTCTCATTAGCAGCCCAAAGAAAGCCAGCTCATCACTGGCGTGGGCAGCCTCAAGGCCAAGTTACTCAGCAGCGCTTCCGACTTGGGAGCAGGTCGGGGAAAGTGGCCGTGGGCAGCGGCCTCCGAGCCAGGGGAGCAGCCCACTCCAGGATGCCTGCAGTGCGACCAGGACCTGCTCTCTCTTTTCTGGGATTTCAGACTTGCCTGGGCAAATGCAGATGCCAGAGGATGGAGCAGCGCAGAGCCGAGCTGTGGGCCAGCTGCACCCTGGTCACCTGGCGCCCATTCCGGCCCCTCACTCGGCTCAGAGGCTCCCGGGCCAGAGAGGCTGCACCCTGGGAAGCTTCCTCTCCCCACTGGGCTGTAACCTGGAGGCTCTAGCCAGACCCTTGAACAGGCGACCCCAGCCCCACTCCCTTGACCTCATGAGCCTCCGTTTTCCCATCTTGGAAAAGGGGATGCCCCGACTCCACCACTTCACAGGGCTGTTGTGACGATTAAAAGGCAAGAAGGTAGGTAGATGTGTTTTCTAGAAGGTAAAATGCTACACAGAGTAGAGTTGCCAGATAAAATACAGGACACTCAGTTAAATTTGAATTTCAGATAAACAACAAAGAATTTCTTAGATAAGCATGTCCCAAATATTGCAAGGGATATACTAAAAACCACTTTGCTGTTTATCTGAAATTCAAATTTAACTGGGCATCCTTTATTTGCGGCCGCTGACACACAGGCATGAGATCACTCATAGCCATCTCCGTCCCCTTCCAACAGTGGTGGCTCTTAGATCAGAGGGTCAGAGAGCTCCTCAGGAATCTAATGAAAGCTATGGGCCCTCTCTCTCTCTCTCTCACACACACACACACACACACACACACACACATAGAGGTTTGCACACAATTTTGGGAGAGGTGTTAACATGCCCCCCCAGTATCATCTATGGACCCCAAAGGGAGAAGCTCCCCTCCGGGGAATAGCTCTCCCCAGCTGCCCCCCATTTCCCCTCCTCAGGCCTCTCCCAACCTCCTCCTCCCGCTGGAGGCCTAGAAGCTCAGACAAGACCCTTGGTGCCCCCTCCAGCCAAGTGCCTGCTTCTTCCCCACACAAAGTCCCTGAGTCCTAACCCCAGCCCCTCCCTGAAGTGCCATCCCTGCCAGTCTACTTACAGGTGGGCTTCTTGAGGCTCTGGGGGCTCGGCAGGGTGCCTGTGGCTCTCCGGTAGCTTAGTCGCCTGCAAGGACACAAGGGGATGGGCAGGCCCATGAGCTGGGCCAGAGAACCAGTCAGAGGGAGCCTTCTGGAAAACTTGAGGAAACCGAGGCCCGGATCCCACAGGTGGCACAGCCTGGCACGCCAAGGGTCTCCTGCTTTGCACCGAGTTCCATTGAAGAGGGAAACTTTCACAAACACGGGTTCGAGTCTCTCGTTCTGGGAGAAGCTCACACAGTCCAAGATGGTCACACCCAGGGATCCAGCCCAGTGCCCACGGTCAGTGATTGGTCATTACTTTCCCGTGACTGATTCTCAAGGAAGGGAGGCCCCTTCTCCACTCTCACTCGGCCTTCCCATCTCTGAGGAAGCTGGAAAATGGCAGAACGATGCCCAGGAGAAGCAGAGGGCAAAAGGGACCCTAAGTCGACACTCTTCTCCCCTCAGCCTGGCACATTATCCAACATGGCCGCCAGCACAGAGGCAGCCGCCAAAGCCTCGTCTCTGAGCTGAGAAAACGCCCTGGGCTCTTGGAGGAGTCTAGATTTCTACACTTAAATGCAGCTAACGAGCTTTCCCTCAAGACCTGTGAAGCCAAAGGAGCAGATGGGGCTGGGGCTCCTCTGAGAAAATAGAGCAGGAGTTCTCAAACTTCAGCACCTCAGCATCACCTGGCACGTCTGCCAGAACACAGACCTGAGAGTCTGCTCACGGCGTCTCTCACTCAGCGGGTCTGGGGCAGGGCTCAGGGACCTGCATTTCTACCAAGTTCCCAGGGGATGCTGATGCGCCCAACCTGGGGACCACACCATGAGGGGCACTGAAATGGCTGAACCCTGAGGTCTCTCGTTACCACATTCCAGACCCAAAAAGATGGAAGAGGGCTACAAACCTCAGGGGAGGCAAGGCAGCCATAACTGCCACCCCCTCCGACCCAGGATTTACGCTTGGGAAATCTCTCCTGAGGAAATCATTTGAAATATGAGGAACAGCCTATGTGAAGATCATTATCGTAGCCTTGTAGCAGTGAAGCACCAGGGACAACTGGAGGTGTTCAGCCACAGAGAAGGAGTGAAGCCACTTAGGTACGACCCTTCCTGGAGAAGGCTTCCCCGAATGCCTGGACCAGGGCCAATCCTCCTACCATGGCCTGGCAGAGCCCTGCGTCCTCCTCCCGCACACCCATCACACCTACAGCAAGTGTCCATCTGAACCAGGTGTGACTTTCCCGCTAAACTGATGCCTGGCACAGGCCAGCTCAGCTCCTGATAAATACTGGCTGCCCAGGAATGAATGGTGTATCCCCCGATTAAATATTTAGCCACTAACATCACACAATAAAGAATAGGCAATAATGTGGGAAATACTAATGTCAAAATGTTGTTAAAAAAAAAAAAAAAGGAAGACATCGGGGCCGGCCCCCGTGGCCAAGTAGTTACGTTCACACACTCCGCTGTGGCAGCCCAGTGTTTCATCAGTTCAAATCCTGGGTGCGGACATGGCACCACTCATCAGGCCATGCTGAAGCAGCATCCCACATGCCACAACTAGAAGGGCCCACAAATAAGAATATACAACTATGTACCCAGGGGCTTTGGGGAGAAAAAGGAAAAAATTAAAAAATCTTTAAAAAAAAAGCAAGACCTCAAATTCCATATGTAACACACATAAAAGGTACAAGAAGGAAATAAATCGTGCTGTTTAGATAGTGGCAAGACTGGGTCATTTTCTTTTCCTCCTCTTCCTCCTCTGTATTTTTATATTTCATTTCTCAATTTTCTCTAAGTATATATCATAAAATATACACTAATTTAATAACAGATTTCTATATATTTATTTAAATCTCAAAGAGTCATCACCTCTGGTTATGGGTCAAGAAGGAAAAACACAAGCGTAATTGGTACTCACCTCAGGGAACAACACACAGTGGGCCCCTCTGGCTGTGCTGGCAGAGATCGGGGGCTTCGTCATGTACCTATGCCTCTGGCCACTCCAGAACCACCCCCTTACAACACACCCCAGACCCACCTTTCCTGGAACTGCTTGGAGGGAATAAGGCCAGCTCGAAGGTTGGTGTCGCCGACTCGCTTGGCCTGCCACCACGTGGGGTCGTCCTGACTCACCACCTCCAGGACCTGCCTGCGCTGGAAGGGCAGGCCTGCCTCCTGGCAGGGAATGGCCCTGTCCTCGCGAGGGTTGTAGTGGAAGAGGGCCCGCATGAACACCTGCAGAGGAGGGGCTGGTGAGGCGGCCCTTCAAGCTGGAAGCAAAGATGCGTGACGCCACATCGAAGGCCAAAAGACAACCACCGTTCACAGTTACAAAGAACAAGTAGCCTTGAGAATAGAAAGCCAGTCAGAAACACACTGCACCTGTTTCTTCTTCTTCTTCCACCATTTTAAATATTACAGTCAGAAAATCCATCAAGAATCAGACAATGAATAGATGGGCCCCATGTCTGAATTTCTCTTTCCAACCTAAATATTTCCTTATTTACCAGATCTGCTGTCCCCAGAAAGGCCTCTTAGCACGCACAAGGCAACAATTAGTCCTGGGAACAAAAAGTAAAGGCAAGCACAATTTGTAACTCCAGCATTACCTCTGAGATGCTCACTGCCCCCGAGGAAGTCAGCAGCCATCTGGCAAGTAAGTAATCTGGATGCTTCCGTAAGAACATGAACATCAACAAAACTAGTTACTGACTCCTCTTCGTTACTCTTCAGTGGGTAATTGACATCGACGGGTGTTACAACTCACTCCTGCCTCATCTGTCACATACTCGGCCAAACCCCAAGACTCCCCTTTACCCTGAAGTCACCCCCTCTATCATTCAGCGGCATAAATTTATTTTATTTATTTTTATTAACAGTAAATAGAAAAAAAAAGGCTAGAGGGCTTCCTTACATCCAAATCATATTCCTAGATTCAGCTGGACGACTATAAGAACTTTCTGGCCAGACACTGTGAGGATAGATACCCTCATCCAGCCATAGATGTTACCAGGGTCCCAGGCACTCAGAGGACAGTATAATCTTAAATGGCCGGCCCAGATCAAGATCCTGGGCAAGAAGAAATGTTTAGGAAGGATGGGCTAGGGGACAGGATACCCATTTTGTCCTCCAGGAAAACCAAGTTCTCTCCCTGTATCAAGTTAGAACCTGCGAAAGCTGCCGATGAGGACCGCATCAGCTGGTCCCAGGAAGAACCACCCTCCCTCAGGTAAGAGTCCGTATCATGTACACCCTCGGAGTCAACAGAAGAGCGCAAAAAAGAAACGAGCCATGTAAAGATTATGTCTTCATTTGCTGCAAAAACTGACATCAAAGACATTGTCCGTTATCAACCCCCATTCATCAAAATATTTATTGACATGAACTCTGTGCCAGGTGCCGTAATGTCCCTTTTCTCATACTGGGAGGCCGGGGCTGGGAATCAGCTTTCTTGAAAAACTGGCACGCTTCCTTCCATCCACTGATGAAGAGTCTGTAATTCATTACGGTCTCCTTTCTGCCTCGGCTGCCAGGAAGTTCAGATCCAAATTTACTTGAAATCAAAGTAATGCCTCTGCTATCCTCTCTGCCAGCCCCTCAGCTCAGATCTTAATCCCTCACCTGGGCTTTCACGCCAGTCTCCTGCCAGGTCTCCCGCCTCCAGGCTCTACCCACTCCCTGCTTCTCCAGGTGGCTATCCCGGGGGCTTTCCACAACACAAATATGGTTGCATCACTCCCCTCTTTAAAAAACAAACAAACAACAACAAAAAACACATCTTTAAGCGCTTCTTACCGCCTACTGGGTTGTACTTGGGTTGTGGGGTGCCTTCCCATATCCCGCAGGGCCTCACCATTTCAGTGCACCCCAGGCTGACTTCCAGCTGCCAGCACCGGCATCTCTGCCCAAAGGCTTCCTCTGGCCCCTGGGATTTGCTCTATCCTAATCCAGCAGGCAGGAGCTGCTGGCGATCAAGCCCCTCATGCAGCCTGCTGGGAGGTGGTGCACAGATGCCCCCAGCGACTCGGACTCTGGGGTGGGATGATGGAGGCACGTGTCTACAGGGGAGCCCGAGCTCTCCAGCAGCATGAAGCCCACAGTGGTAATGTGCTTGACGACACACCCTTTGCTGCACTGGCCGCCTTCCCTTCCCCGCTCCTGTACCGGCTTTTCCTGGGGTCACCTCCAAATAAACCATGTGCACTGGAATCTTGGTCTCAGGCTTGGCTTCTGAACCCCAAACTATGTAGGGATTGTACCAAAACCCTTAAAACATCTGAGGCCATTCAGAGGGTAGCCTTGACCCATGTCCCCAGCACGCCCCCCTCCCTGCAGCCCCCTCACAGTTCTCACCAACCCCAAACCACACTGCTCTCCATTCCTCTGAGCCTCTGCATGCGCAGCTCCCCCTAAGCATCCCTCCACCTCTTCCTCACCAGGGAGGTCCTACTCATCTTCACCTGGCTCAAGCCTCGTTCCAACACCCCTACGACGCAACACCTTCCCAGGCGCCCGCAACTCCACACGGACTCCTTCCGAAGCACTCAGCACACAGCGAGGAAAGTCCTGCTCCTAGCACTCCTCTTCTGGACCAGGACCCTCAAAGCTGCTAACCGTCCCTGTCCCCAGCACCTGGCAGAGCGTCCGGCACAGAAGAGGCGCCCAAGACGGTAGGCTCAACGGAAAATTGAACAAATGGCAGCTACTGAATTGGTCCCAAAGCCAGCACGTTTGGTACCTTCTCCTCCGCACGGCCCTGACTTTCTACTTCACTTAAAAGAAGCTTGTCTTTTATTAGTGAGCTACGTCAAACCCTGGTTGGAAAGAGGCAGGGTACAAACAAATGAGTCACACTGTGACTGATTCACAGTTCTCTCCCGAGCACACGTTCCGGGGACCAGACGCGAGATCCCTTCCCGAATGACCGTCTCAGAGGCTGGGCGGGAGCCCTCCCCGCTCCCACCCGCCATACCTTGCTCTCCTTTAAGCGGTCCTCCTCCTGGGTGGCTGGGATGATTTTCAGGGTGATGGATCCCTGCGAGTGGGCCTGAAGGGAGAGAGGGCACAGGTTTACCACCTTCCAGGCCTAACCTTCCATGAGCTCACGTCTCACTTCCCAGCTCTGAAAACTCACGTTCAGAAGGACAGTCAGACGCACTGCCTCCCCTGTGGCCCACCCTTCTACCGTGGCGCTGGCTTGACTTAACTAAAGCAAAACTCAGAAACCAAGTATTTGCATTTTCATGGGACAAAGAGACAGAAGATTTTAAATGAGAACCTGAGGACAATGCAGGCACTGAATTCCAATGTGCCAGCCCTCCTGACGAGGGGTGCCCCGACGGCTGCCCTTCTCCCTTTTCTCTAGGGTTATTTTATTTGTTTTTATTTATTTTTACTATTTTTTTTTTGAGGAAGATTAGCCCTGAGCTAACCAGTGCCAATCCTCCTCTTTTTGCTGAGGAAGCCCGGCCCCAAGCCAACATCATGCCCATCTTCCTCCACCCTACATGTGGGACGCCTACCACAGCATGGCGTGCCAAGCAGTGCCATGTCCGCACCCGGGATACGAACCAGCAAACCCCGGGCCGCCGAGAAGCAGAACGTGAGAACCTAACCACTGCACCACGGGGCTGGCCCCTCTAGGGTTATTTTAATAACGTAGCTCCGCTTCCTTTCCCTCCTTCCTGCCTGATTTGGGGCTGGTGCCCAATCAGAACTTCCCTCTTTGCTTCCATCTTCCCCAGCCGGCTATGCGATCTCAGGCTGCTTCTACCTTGCCAGGGGTTCCCCTTGCCTCTCCTGGATAGAGGCTCTGCACCCCCATGTGGGGGGCCCACGAGGAAGGATGCTGTCAGTCCATGAAATCATCTCACCCCATGGTCTCCCCGGCCCTGCATCGCTCTGCAACACAAGGCACTCAGTGCCCAGAACCAGGGAAAGGGCCGTGGGGGCAGGGAGACCGGAGGGCCTGCCTGCCACCAGCGCCCCCTACAGTGGGGGCCTTAAAGAGAGGGCCTCCTCTCTTCAGATCATCCTAGTCCTGCTCCCCAAACCATGAGAAGTTAGCAAAGAATGTCACACTGCGGGAGGATGCCCGAGGATAAAGAGGACAAAGCTGTGATCGGGGCTTTTCACAATTTTGGTTTCGACTTGAACCCCCAGAATGGACTCAGGTCGCTCTCATCCCAGCATTTAATACTCTAAAATCCCCTTACAGTTGTGAAGTGCTGCGTCCTTTCCCAGATGTTTTCATCCTAAGGATAAGCACACATTGGTTGAGAAACCATCTGTATGCCAACTTCACAGGAAAGGAAACTGCAACTCAGAAGGACGTGATGACTCGTCCAAGGCTGCACACTAGAAAGTGATTCAAACCCAGGACCAGCTGACCCCAGAGCCCTTGCTCTCGGTCCTCCCTGTGCTCAGCTTTGTACTCCACATTCCTCAGTCCTTTGGAAGAGGGGACTCTTTTGGGGGGCCCTCCCAGTAGGGTCATTGGGCAAGGGGGCTGGGGGAGGGGGTGGCTGTGCTGCAGAGAAGGTTGGAGAGAGGCTGGTGGTCTGCATGCTCCACTCCTCCTGGCCCTCACCCCGCAGCCCAGGCACACTGTAAGGCTGCTTTGCCTGAGGCCTCCCCATGAAAACAAGAAGACTGAGCCAGATCTGTCCTGGCTCCAGGAAGCACCCTGCTTTGTGTCTCCAAAAAACACTCCCAGCACACGTGCAGCACGGACCAGAATCTGGCTGATCTCGTCGGGCCGCTTGTGCAGGACGGCAATCCCGTTCACTTCTCGGAGCTCGTCTCCAACATGGACCAGGCCTAGGAGACAGAGGGGCTGACCGTCAGCACAAGAAGGGGGCCTCAGCCCCCAGAACTTGAGCTCTGGGCACTGCGGGGCCCGCCTGAGGAACCTGCTGCAGGGCAGACTCAAGGTTTAAAAACGGTGAGTGGGACTGTGATGAAGTGAGGCCCTACTGCACGCTGGGTGCCTCCCTCAGCATCACAGCCTCACAACCACCCGGTGAAACCCCCAATTTACAACTTGGCAGCTGAGATCCAGAAAAATTATGCAGCTTGCCCACGGCCACACTGCTAAGGAATAATGGAACCAGTGTTCAAACAGTTCTTTTGACATAGAAAGCTGGTGCTCTTTCTGCTATGACCTATGCATGGTAAAAATATCATTAACTCCTCACTTTCGTGGGTTTACAGACATACTCCAAGAACATCTTTCTCAAATCTTAACAAGGAAATGAACGGCATCAGGGAGGATGTCGTCAAAAGTGTTACACCCATCTGTCCGCTGGCTTTAACGACAAGTGTCTCCGTATACTAGCCCCTATTTGTTACTCAAAGTGGACACTGGCCCAGCAGCATCAACGCCACCGAAGAGGTGGTTAGGAGTACAGAATCTTGGGCACACCCAAGACCTGCTGACTCAGAATCTGCATTTTAACAAGATGCCCGGGGTGTTCATGTGCTTGTTAATGTTTGAGAGGCACTGGTCTAGGATGGTCACAACGAGAATTCCCCAGACTTTTGGGGCAACACTCCCCGACCTCAGGAGGTTTGTCTCCCAACTTAGTAGCTCTTCCACACACTAATGATTCTCAATCCATTTTCCACCCAAACAAATCTGGGACAGAAACATCCACCTCGGTAACAGCAGCAACGGGCTGTTGGGCAAGGGTGTCCCTGCCCCAGTTAGGGATTACCCGCCAAGCCCATGCTGCATGCTTCGCTACCTCAGTCCTCGGGCTTAGCCAACACATGAGCCCTTCTGATCACCCCCAAAGTACTCCACACCTGAGATATTTTCAAACAATTAAAATTTCTGCTGTGCTTGGGAAGAAGAGAATTCCAGCTCCACTCTCAGAAAGCAAAGCATATCCTAAACAGAAGACCAGACAGGAAGAGGAAAGGAGTCCTGCGGCCAAAGGGAAAGGCTGGGGAATGATGGCCACCATCTCGGCCAGGCCGGCATTGATGCCACTCACCACTCCGGTCTGCTGCGCCTCCTCGCATGATCCTGGCCACCACAACAGCCCCTGAGTGCTCATCCCGCCGGATGGTGGCCCCCTGCATGGGAGACAGAGCGCGTAGCCTCCTAAGAAGCAGCCCCAAACCTCAGCCTCCGACTCTCTGGACCCAAAAGAGCTTCCTCCGTCCCTCCCTCCGCCACCCTAGAGGACACATCAGAGGGGACCTTTCCAATGCTGAGAATGAAATAAAACTGACACCTTGCATTAGTACAGTACAGCACTCTACAGTTTACACAAAGCACAACAGCTCTGTGAGAATCTCATTAGGGGTGAGGGACCGGGGCCCAGAGAAGACAAGCATCGAGGTCACCCCACTGGTGAGGAATAAAGCTTTTTGTGATGCCCAAGCCAGTGCTTTCTCTGTCTGATCACTGTCCTTGCTACTTGCAAAGACATTTAATAAAGAGGAGAATATGTGCCAGCACATTTTCAACCCGCCTCCAACCGATCACAGGTTTCTGGGCCTCCTGCTGTTGCCGAGTGGAACCAATTACGCCCCAGCCAGAGCTTCAGGACCAGCACTTGGCCCATGAAGCTCAGCAGAGATGATGTCTAGGATGAGAAAGGCACTAATGAGCCCTCGATTGTGTGCACCGCGTTGCTGGACTGCGGCGAGGCAGGGCAGCGGGCAGGTGGAGAGCTAAACTCTGGAGGCAGATGGCCCTGGGTTTGAATCCACCCTGCCATTTACTAAAAGCATGTGGCCTTAGCAAGGACGCCCCTTATCTTCTCGGAGTCTGTTTCCTCTGCGGGGTGGGACAGCATTTAACTCACGGGGTTGTTGCAAGGATTACATGAGGTAATGCATGCAAGGTACTTAGCACACAGTAAGCGCTCAACAAATGCCAACCATTTTATTATTCGCTGTAACTGCAAACACATTGGCACACTTATAATTCACTTCATTCATGTCACCTATTTGAAGTCCAGTCATGCGTCGCTTAATGATGGGGATGCAGTCTGAGAAATGCACCGTCAGGTCATTTCGTCGTTGTGTGAATATCATAGAGTGCACTTACACAAACCTAGATGGTAGAGCCTACTGCACAACTAGGCTACGGGTACCAATCGTATGGGAGTGTTGTCATTGACCAAAACATTGTTATGCAGTGCATGACTGTACATAAGATAAGTATTGCTGGAAAGAGAGGCCTTCAGCTAAGAACCCCGTGGCTTCTTGCCTGCTAGACCTTCGAACTTTCTAGCATCCCTGTCCATCCTTTGCTCCTTTCCTCCATCTCGGCAGATGGGTTCCTCCCATCTAGGCTGGTCCCTCTAACCCCGCCCTCCCTCTCCCACAATCTCAATGGCCCCTCTCTACTGGCTCCTTCTCCTGGTCCTAAAAATATTATCAAGTCTTTCCCATCAGTAAAAAGCCTGCAGGCCCCACCCACCAGCAGCCAGTCTTGGCTCCCTTGGAGCAAACTTCTCAGAAGAAGAAGTGTGTGTCTGGTCTCTCTGCTCCCTGTCCTCTGAGTCACTCACCTCCCACAACCTCAAACACACCAGCAAAAGCACTGCCGACCCGCCAGCTGCCAGCTCCATCGCCACCCTCAGCCTTCTCTCCTCTGATCTCCCTCCTGTCTGATTCTGGGGCTCGCCCTCCCTCTGGAATTCTCCCTTAGCCTGGGCCCTGGTGACACCTCTCCCAGTTCTCAATGACAATTCATCTCCTTTGCTGAGTCCTTCTCTATCTGCCTTTTAAATGTTGATGAAAGGGCCAGAGTCTCACCCCTGCCCTCTTCTTGTCTCATGCTGTATACTCCTTCCCCAGGTGGCCTCAACCTCTCAGGCGTGCTTTGAACCCCTCCTGGATGCTGGCGGCTGCCACGTCTCTATCTCTGGACACATAAGCCTTCCACCCCCTGTGCATCTCCACCTGGCCGTCACACAGGTCCCTTGAATTCCATAGGCCCTAAGCTCCTCCTTATTCTCCCTCTTGAATGATGGCCCCAGCGTCGACCAGTCATCCCAGCTGGACACCTGGGCATTATCCTAGGTGCCCCTCGAGACTGCTGCCCAAACTGGGGCAGTCATAAAGTGACATTAATTTTACTTCTGAAATACTTCTTGGATTTCTCTTCCCTGTTCCACAGGCCTGGGTCAAGCCCTGTTTCTGAGCCTCAGGATCTGGCCCCCACCTTCCAATCAGTCCTCTGCTCTGGCCTCATCCTCCAGGCCACTTTCTACTCGGTAGCCAGGGTGATCTTTCTAAGCTGCAAGTCTAGTCACGTTATTTCTTACTTAAAACCTTCCCATGGCTCCCCACTGCCTTTGGGATCAAGCTCAGCAACTGTGTATGGACAATCAGGTTCTTTATCACCTCCTCTGGTCTGGCCTCCCCTCCTTCCCTCAGCCTTGCACCATGTGCACCCCAGGCTGCTCAGAGCTCCTGGAAACACCATGCCGGTTACCTTCCCATGGCTCTGCCCATGCAGTCCTACCATGTGGGAGGCCCTTCCTCTCCCTTTTCCTCCTGGAAAACTCCTGTTCCATTGTTGGAATTCAGCGTGGGCATCATCCCTTCTAGGAAACCCCTGGCCACTCCCTCCTGTAAACTCCCAGAGGGCAAGGACTAAGTCTGAACCATCTCTGAACTGCCGGCATCCAACACCGTGCCTGGCACACAGCAGGGCTCATGTTTGCTGAGCCGATGGGCGACGGCCCCATTTTGAAGGTAGAGAAATAGAGGCAGAGGAAGGATCCCGTCTGTCTGCAGACACGGTTCATCAGAGGCCATCTGGTGAAAGGGGAAGTGAAGAGAGCCAGCTGTGGCACTATCTAGGGCAAGCACTCGATTCTCTGGCTTCCACTGCTTCCCTCTATCTCATAAACAACTCTGTCCCTTCGCTCCGTAAATCAATGCTGAACCAGGACCAAAATGATAGCAATCTGTCATCTGGGGAGAAGAATGGCTGCTGCCCTGTGCTTCCTCAGTATTCAGGGCAGAGACTGGCAAGCTTTTTCTATCAACAGCCAAATGTAAATATTTTAGGCTTTGTGAGCCACACGGTCTCCATCACAACTACTTAACTCTGTCGTTGCGATGTAAAGGCAGCCACAGACGATACGTAAATGAACGGAATGGCCAGGCGCCAATAAAACTTTATTTACAACAACTGGCAGTGGGCCGGGTTAGCCCTTGGACTGTAGTTTGCCAACCTCTGGTTCAGAGCATGATGATCAAGCTGCCATATACAGCTGTGCAGGTTGTCTACTGCACAAAGGAGCTTGGCCACGGTTGAGGCCACTAGTGGCAGCCCTGACAAAGCTGCCACCACTCACTCCAAAGTCTTCAGGAGGGTCCCTTCCCACTTTTCTAGGTGGGTGGGGGTGGGATACAGGAAGAGGGTGGAGAGGGTGGGGAAGAGAGGTGGATGCCACATACCAGGGGTTCCTTGTTCTTCACCAAACGAACAATCTTCACTGATTCTTCCTCAAAATCCTCTTCAATATTATCAGGCAGAGGGGGGAGAACAGGGTCGAAATTCTTCTGGGCCACCGTGTCGTGTACCATGAGCATGGCCTGTCAGGAAAGCAAGAGAAAAGCAGGGCTGACCCCAGAGCTCACACGGGTCAGGGGTCCGGGCTGCACAGTGGTTGGGGGGTCTCGGATCTCATGCCGGAGAGACAACCAGCCAGACGCTGGCGCCGAGGTCGCCTCCCTCAGGAGTCTCCTCTCCTCAGCCTCCCGACCGAGGGCTCTCTCCTGCCCCCATGCCAGGAGGCACGAGATGCGTGGGTGGGCAGGGACTCGGCGTGACTACCCTGAGGTGGGGGGTAGACAGCAGCTGGAGCAGCTCCCTCTCATCGCTGTGCGCGGAGGCGGCCTGCAACTCCTCCATCACCTGTGGGGAAGGAGACACAAGGTCGCAGACGGCTGCTGCGAGCCTGCACCCCGGGCCTCAGACCCAAGGGCCCTCCCAGCAACCGCCACAGCACCCGGGGCGCCTCGGACCCTCAGCCTCCCCAGGACCGACACCCCCAGGGAAATCCTGCCAGGGGTCAGAAGAGCATGCAGCTCTGCGGGGTAATCCTAACGCGGGCTGACCTAGTTAGCCATGACTGGGCCCTATTCGCCCATGTGGACCTTCTCACGGAACTCTCACGATGAACTCAGTGTAGCTCATACTCGTTATTTTGCCACTTCACAGGTGAGAATTAAATGAGAGAGATTAAATATCGTGTCCAAGGTCGAAAAGCTTGTAAGTGGCACAGCCAGGATTTGAACCTGGGCTTATCTGGCTCTACTGTCTGTGCCCTCACCACTACCCTATTTTATAGATGAGGAAAGTCGGCCTCAGAGAGGTTGAGTGATCTGTTTAAGGTCACAGAGCTAGTAGTAGAGGTGGTGCTGAGCCTGGGAGCCCGGCAACCCACTGTGCCCCTAATACATTCCATACTGGAGAAAGGCACGGAGACCTGCCCCCACAGGCTGCCCCATCCTCGCCAGGCCATCTCCTGCGTCAGGTGAGTTTATTCAGGAGCTGGCTTTAGTAGCCAATCAGGACAGCTTTTCCCAAACCAGGCAACACAAAGGACAGGTCCACAAGACACCAAGAAGCATTCTTTTAAAAAACGAGAAGCCAGGGGCCGGCCCCGTGGCCAAGTGATTAAGTTCACGCACTCCGCTTTGGCAGCCCAGGGTTTCGCTGGTTCGGATCCTGGGCGCGGACCTAGCACCACTCATCAAGCCATGCTGAGGTGGCGTCCCACATGCCACAACCAGAAGGACCTACAACTAGAATATACAACCATGTACTGGGGGGCTTTGGGGAAAAGAAGAAAACAAAAACAAGAAGCCTGCACCAGTAAGTGGGGACGCACTGCCAAGTCCCTTGACCCCAGGACTTCACATTGGGCCTCCCCAAAGCACAGATGCAAGGTGCTCATCTGACCTATTCACGTCACCAGTCCTCGACAGTTTGGGAACTGCTGATCTGACCAAAACGCTCTCACTTCACAGCTGGGAAACAGAATCTCTCGGGAACACAGAGTAAGTGGGCGTCATCATGTCACCATGGCCTCCGGCCCAGCCCTGGGCTCTCGAGTTCCTCCCTGCCTGTTAGCAGGCCCAGGGAGGAGGAGAAGGGAAGGAAACGCCTCTTCATCTTTGGGCTCTCAAGTCCTGATGTCCCCTAGGCTAAGAAACGGTGACAAGTCAAGACGAAGGAGCTCTACGGGGGGGGGCTGACACGGTAAGGAAAACCCTGGGGCTTACATCCTCCGCGAGGGCCACAGCGCTGTGCAGAACGGGGGTTGGACTTTGCGTCTCGTAATAGCGAAGCTTCTCGTGAATCTGCAAAGACAGCGGATTTCAGGCTGGGGCCTCCCAGGCCAGCTGCCCAGATTTACCCTGGACACCACACAACCCACCCACGGCTGTGAGGATGCCTAAGGCTGCAGCCTGGGGCCCTAACGGGTCAGCATCAGAGAGAGCCCTGCATAGCGGGCTAGTGAAACCTTGCTGGGGCAGCCGGATGGCCAGGATGACCCCAAGTCAGCTAGGAAGCCCTCTGGACACCCTCACCAGGTGGGATGAACCAGAGTTGTTACCTTCATTAGGTAACTGAGACTTTTTTCACTGAAAACATCCCTCAGGAAGCCCATCTCTTCCTTGTGGTTAGAGTCAGGTCTGAGCTGAGAGGTCAGCAGCGCCAGGGTCTCATGCAAACCTGAGGACAGTGTGACAACAACAAAGTACAGCAAATGCAATGGGGGACCCCGAGTGGACCCCCAAACAACGCTTCAGCCCTGCCATGTGGACATTCTCTGCCTAGGCTCTCATTCCCAGGGCCTGGAGGCAGGGCAGCTCCTGTGAGCCAAGGCTGGCAGCAGCCTGCTTTCCTTCCAGTCCCGGCCTGCTGGCAGGCTGTCTTCAGGGCTATGGCGGGCCCAGCCAGGGGAGGCGCTCACCGGAGTCCTCGGACAGCACCGGCATGTCTGTGCTGGTCAGATCCCAAGTCTGCCTGTGGATTCTGGGAGAAAGGGGGTGGGAGAATGAAGCTCCATCAAGCATATTCATTTAACAAACAGTGATTACACACGTACTGTGTCTGTCCGTGACCACTCTGGGGACAGAGGCAACGGAAACAATTAATTCTCTGCTCACTTTTTTCACAGAGGAAGGAAAGAAAACTAAGATTTTCGGAGTGCTCCAAAGGTGCCAAGCATTGTGCTGGGTGATTTCATACGACATTCTTCTTAGTCTGCCCAAAGCTCTGAGGAATGGGTACTAATATTCCCATTTTACTGATGAAGAAACAGAGGCCTGGAGGAGTTCAGTAACTTTGGGGTCAGCATCCATACTCGGTGGCTCTTCCAGGCTGGTCTCAGAGGTGGGAAGTGGCCCCTGCCTGACAGTGGGTGCTGTCCCCCACAGCATCGCCCCTCCCCTGTTACCTTCTAAGAGGCCTCTCTGAAGTCCCTTGCCTGTGACACTTTCAACAAGTACCTGGCTGGGCCTCAAGCTCCCTCCTTCCCCACCAGCCCCAAGCCCCAACCTGAAGGGAGCGAGCATAGGGAGAGAGGAGGAGGAGAAACGAGAGTCTCCGATGCGGGAGGAGGGAGCCCTGTCTCAGCAGGCCCCTCAACGTGCTCTGCAGCACGTGGACCTCAAAAAGTCCTCCTCCAGAGGGGACAAGGAGAGTAATGATTCATTCATTCCGCAAACAAGGAGCCAGCCCCACTGCGCCCGAGCACCGGTGCCACCAAGATGCATAAATAAGAATCGTACCGGCTCTCCAGCCACCGCCCCCCCTCTACGCCGGACTCACCCTCTGGCTTCTTCTAGCTGTGCCCACCGCTCCCCCCCACCCTCGAGCGGCCAGGCACAGACTCCAGCTCGCCTTCGGAAGGAAGGAACCTGTGGGACGAACAAGGAGCGCGGATGGGAAAAGGACAGACGAAACCGGGGGGGACGCACGGGGCTGCCTCGGAGGATGCCGAGCGGCGGGAAAGGAGCTGGGCGCTCCCGGGGGAGGCGGGTGCGCGGAGGAAGGCTGGGGGCCGAGGGGCGGGGACTGATCCCCCTCCCCCGGGGGGCTCAGTGGGCCGCGAGGCTGCGGTGTGCACGAGGGGCGGTCTCGGCCCATCCTCCCCGCCCCGCCGGGCCCCACCCGCCGCGGCCCCCGTCCCTTGTCTGTTCCCCGCGCGGGCTCCTACCTGGGCGCGCCGGGATCGCGGCTCTCCGACCCGGAGCCGCGCGGGTGCCCGGGGCCTCGGCCGCCGCTGGCTCCGCCCTCCCGGCCCCTCCCTGCCGCGGCCGCGCCGGGCGGGGGTGGCTGAGCCCGAGGAGGCGAGGCGCGGGGAGGGGTAGGGGGAGGGAGAGGAGGAGGGGAAGGGGAGGGGGAGGGGAGGGGGAAGGGGAGGGGGCGAGGGACGGGGCGCGGGAAGGGGAGGAGGAGGAGCTGAGGGAGCCCGCGGCGTCTGGCACCGCCAGTCCTCTGCTGGCCCGGGCTCCGCTCTCCTGCGTGGTACCCGCTCCTCAGTGTCCTCCCACCCGAGCCCTGAGCAGCCCCCTGCTTGTGTCCCGTCACCCGGACTCAACCAGTCTTCTCTTCTGTCCCCACCGCCCCCGCATAAGCTTCCCCCCCCCACCAGCGTGCTGCGAAGTGAACACTTGCTTAACATATAATTCGATTTTGCAAACGTTTATTGAGCGCCCTCCAAGTCCCAGCCACTGTGCCAGGGGGTGGGGGTTCAAAGACGACCAAGACAGAGCTGCTGGATTTGAGGGCCTCGCAGGCCGGGGCGGAGGATCGGCCGGACGCGAGGGCCACTCGCCGTAACAATGCAACGTGCTGGGAAAGATTTATCGGTGCGCGGTGCCGGGGCCGCGGAGAGGGAGGGGAAGTCGAGCTGGGGAGACTGCGAGGCTCGAGTCGGCCCCTGTGCAGGGGGTGGGGCTGCGGGGGGAAAGCGGCTCGTGTGCAGGGCTTCACCCGGGGGACCAGCTCTGAAATGGCCGTGACGATCACTGACTTTTATTGTGCTTTCTCAGATAACTCCTCAGATCACTTCCCATCACATTAGCTCCTGAGAGAGAGACCATTACGATCCGTGCTCTGTAACTGCCGTGCTCTGTAACTGAGGAAATTGAGGCTCAGGAGTGGAAGGACGGATGTGGAGGAGAGGGCAGGAGCTGCCGGGTGAGTGAGCAGGTGGTTGTGGGTATTAGAGGCTGAGGAGTGGGCGAGTGAGTCCCCTCCCCTCTCCTCCAGCAGCAAAGAACATGAAGCACACGTCGGGAGCAGGGGACCCCGAGATTAAGTCTGGGAGCAAGTCTTGCATGTCGAGGAGAGATTTTGGTCAACAGACCCGTAGCCTGCAATGCTGGGGAGGCTGTCAGGAGCAGAGGATCATGATGACACTTCCCTCCTTTCTCAATGTTATCTCCACCAGTGCTTCTAAAATGTAAGGTGCCTATGCAGCCCCTGGGGCTGTGTAGGGCTGGAGTGGCTCCAGACTCCCATTTCTGACAAGCTCCCAGGTGATGCGAGGCCCCTTATCTTGGGACCTCACTTTGAATAGAGAGAGACTACATGAGACACATTCTTACCTGGGGTGCTCAGTGTTAGAGAGCTATCAAGAGCGTCTGAAACAGGGTCAAATGGTTTTTGACAAGGACACCAACAAATGGTACAGAAACAACCAGACGTGTGTATGTGTGTGGTGGGGAGGGACTCACTCCCTCCCTCACGCCACATACAAAGTTCAATTTAAGAGGGACCAGGGCCTAAACATAAACTAAATTGATAGAGCTTCTAGAAGAAAACATAGGAGAATATCTTCTCAATCTTTTGGTTTGCAAAGTTCCCTTAGAAAAGACAAACAGTATAGACCCTAAAAAATGTCGATAAATGGACTTCATCAAAATTTAAAACTTCTGGGGCTGGCCCCATGGCACAGTGTTTAAGTTCACACACTCCACTTTAGCAGCACAGAGTTCTCAGGTTTGAACCCCAGGGGCAGTCCTGGGCATGGACCTGCACAGCACTCGACAAGCCATGCTGTGGCAGTGTCCCACATATAAATCAGAGGAAGACTGGTACAGATGTTGGCTCAACAACAATCTTCCTCAAGCAAAAAGAGGAAGATTGGCAAGAAATGTTAGCTCAGGGCCAATCTTCCTCACCAAAAAAAAAAAAAAAAGTTTTCAGTAATAAATGTGATTTTAAAAAAAATTTTTTTAACTTCTGTTCACCAGAATACACTATCAAGAAAATGAATACAGAGGCTGGTCCAGTGGCACAGCGGTTAAGTTTGCACGTTCTGCTTCAGCAGCCCAGGGTTCACTGGTTCGGATCCCAGGTGCAGACCTATGCACCACTTGTCAAGCCATGCTGTGGCAGGTGTCCCACATATAAAGTAGAAGAACATGGACATGGATGTTAGCTCAGGGCCAGTCTTCCTCAGCAAAAAGAGGAGGATTGGCAGCAGATGTTAGCTCAGGGCTAATCTTCCTCAAAAAAAAAAAAGAAAAGAAAGAAAAAGAAATAGGCAAGCCACAGACTGAGAGGAAATATTCATAACAGATATATCTGACAAAAAAATTTACATCTGGAATAAAGAACTCCTGCAACTCAATAATAAAAAGACAAACAACCCAGCCAAAAAACAGGCAAAAGACGTGAACACACACTTCACAAGAGAAGATACATAAAATAAGCATATGAGAAAGTGCTCATCCAATATCATTTTTCATCAGGGAAATGGAAATTAAAGCCACAAGCAGGTATCCGTATGCCTGCACAGAGGGTTAGAGCAAAGAGGACTGAGGACACCAGGCTGGGTGAGGATGCGGAGCAGCTGGAGCTCTCAGACCGCGCTGTGAGGATAACAGGGTACAACCACTGTAGAAAACTGTTTGGTGGCTTCTTTAAAATGTCAAACATAGGGGCTGGCCCCGTGGCCGAGTGGTTAAGTTCTCGCGCTCCGCTGCAGGCGGCCCAGTGTTTCGTCGGTTCGAATCCTGGGCGCGGACATGGCACTGCTCGTCAGACCACGCTGAGGCAGCGTCCCACATGCCACAACTAGAGGAACCCACAACGGAGAATACACAACTATGTACCGGGGGGCTTTGGGGAGAAAAAGGAAAAAATAAAATCTTTAAAAAAAAAAAGTCAAACATACATCTACCCTGTGATCCAGCAACTCTGCTCCTAGGTATTTATCTGGGAGAAATAAAATCATCTGCCCATAACACAGGTACGACAATATTCAATGCATCTTTAATTCATAATAGCCAAAACCAGAAAACAATCCAGATGTCCATCAACAAGTGAATGGATAAATAAATTGTGGTATAGCCGTACAGTGGGATATTTACTAATCAGCAGAAAGAAACAAACTACTATTCAAAGATTATCCCCATCAGGCAACAACATGGGTAATGTCGGAATATAGCATACCGAGTGAAAGAAGGCAGACACGAAAAGCACATACTGTATGATTCCAGGGGTGTTGTGATCTTGATGCTGTCACTGTACTCAGAGGCCTTGACTTGGCTGGTCCAGAAATCCAGTTTATTATTATTATACAAATTACCTAAATGACTACAGAAGATAGAGAAATATTAATGGATCAATTTCAATAGAGTTGTCAAAGACTTGCTCCTTTCAAAACCCCAGATAGTTCCACAGAATTCTACCAGACACTCAAGGAACAGATCGCTTTAACTCTTCTAGAATATAGAAATAGAAGGAAAGCTTCAAGATTCTTTTATGTAGCAAACATAGCATTGATACTAAAACCTGTCAAAGAGAGCCAAAACTAAAAACAAACCCTACAAATGTCACACTTATGAAAAAATCCTAAAAACTCTATTAGCTGACAATTTCACCAGAACACCAAAAGAATAATCCACTATGATAAAGTAGAGTATATTCTTAAAATGGTTTAATATTTGGAAATCGATTACTCTAAAAAATCTATTACTATAAAAAGTGGAAAATTCATATGACTATCTCCATAGATGCTGAAAAGGCATCCATACATGATTTTTTTAAATATCTTTCAAAAATGAAGGTGAATAAAAGGTTAAACATAAAGTTACCACGTGATCCAGCAACTCCACTCCTAGATACACACCCGAGAGAAATGAAAATGAAAGTGCGAGAACTTGCACAAGAATGTGCAAGCAGTATTACTCAGAATAGCCAAAAAGTGGGAAAAATCCAAATGCCCATCAATTGATAAGTGGATAAGTCGATTGGGATATAACCACACAGCGGAATATTGTTTAGCAATTGAAAGGGAGAAGTACTGACGCATGTGTCAACGCGGAAGACCCTCGCAACATCCTGTCCACTGAGAGAAGTCAGTCGCAAAAGACCACGTACCACGTAGTGTATGATTCCATTGTTATGAAAAACCCAGAACAGGCAAATCTACAGAGACAGAAAGATTACTGGTTGCCTAGGCTCGGGGCATGGACGTGGGGGGTCACTGATGATGGGTACCTTTCTTTTTAAGGTGATGAAAATGTTCTAAAATTAGATTATGGCAGTGGTCTTACAACTCCGTGTGTATACTAGAAACCACTGAAGTGCACACTTTTAATGGATGAATTTTATGGTATGGAAATTATATCTCAATAAAGCTGCTTTTGTAAAAGGTAAACGGTCTAAATCCTCCAATTAAAAGACGGAAATTGTCAGACGGGGTTAAAAAAGCAAGACTGAACTATGTGCTAGCTAGAAGAAACTCACTTTAAACATAAAGACACAGATATGTTAAAGGAAAAGGAACGAAGAA